GTCCAGTGCCGCGGCAGCGGCTGCTTCCCAAGCCGCCGCCTGATTTTCCGCCGAGTCGTGAACTAGATCCTCTGGATATGGCCCAAGCTCCGTCAGGAACCTCTCAGGGTCCATCAGGCGCCTGGGACGGAACCATCTGCGCGGTTCCGTCTCCCTGCGGCGGGGGGGAGCGGTCCGGAAGTCCATCTTCAGGAGTAAAGCTTAACTTGGAGCTTGCACATGAGCAATTTGTCATCTGTGACTATGATCTGTTCCAGGCTTTGATATTATAATTGATCTCCTCCACCTCTTTTAGCAATAATACAACCAATTTGATTTCTGTAGCAATAGCATTGATATACCACACTCCACAGTGCTTCACAGTCTGGGCGGTTTACAGTGTCGGCATGTTGCCCCCAACAAGTTGGCTCAAGGCTGGGAGGGACCAAGTTCAGAATGGCTTGGATTGGGGTGGTTACTCGCTTAATGGCCTGCAATTCTCAGTTAATAATTGCAGTGGGGGGAGGGAGACGGGATTGTGGTTGCTAAGCAATGCAGTCCCATGATGTCTTGCTTTACAACCTCATCACTTAGAGACATTCCATTCAGTTGTGGATGAAAGTTGAGGACCATCTACTGTGGAGTAAACGGGGTTGCTTTGCAAGAGAACGAATGCTGGGTCGCAGCGTGCAGGGTGGCCAGAAGTGCATAGGGAGATAGGCGGGGGGGGGGAGAGGAGTTGCAGAAGCAACTGAGGTCATAAGTGCCAACAGGTTGCCAAACCCTCTAATTTTGGGGGTGTTGCAGTGGCTTCGGACACGGGTCATAAGTCCATTTATTCAACACTTCACAATTTTGCAAGTTGAGGCCTGTCTGCATGTTTTTCATGCCCGATGTCTAATACCCAATGTCAATTTGTCTGTTTGATTCATATTTGATTTCATATTTCATTGTGTTGAGTTTTCCTGCATTCATGCTGTTTGCTTCCGGCCCCCCACTTTAGTTCTGTCTTTGCAACTTTACTTTTTCTTTTCCCGACATCCTGAAGTCTGTAATGCAGCCATGTCATAAAGACCACTAATTCTCCAAAAGATCCTCCGCTCCTTCTTTTTGTCAGTAGCATGTTGAGTGCCATCTGACCTGAGGGACCCATCATCCAGCCCTGTGTGGTCAATCATGTTATATTTTTTTATCCATGTAGCTTTCCTGGTAAAAATACCCGAGTGGTTTCCCGCTGCCTTCTCCCGCGGGTGCCTTTGCCATCTCCATCCAAGGGATCCTCTGCCTCCAGCATCTTCCTCTACCGCTGCTGCCCAGTGCAGGTGCCCCTTTGCTTACGCAGGCAGTTTTTATTTATTTATTTATATTTGGATTTATATCCCGCCCTTCTCCTCGCGGACTCAGGGCGGCTGACAATCAGTTAAAATACATAAATAACAATACAAATTTAAAATTAATTAAAAGAAATATTTAAACATTTGTCCAATTAAAATGTAATTAAAACCCCTCTAAAAATTACCCTAGGAAACCCGATTTAAAATCCTCCCTAGGCCAGGCCCGCTTGCTGAAAAAGCCAT